CCATAGATTATAGAGATAATTAATTAAATTAATTACCACCAGCTATAATCGAACCGTTGATCTCGTCTGTGGAGGGTTAGACACCTAGACCACTAAACTATGGGACCCTAACCCCAAGAGATAACTTTAAAGAAAAAAATTTGAATAAAGTTGAAATAGTAATAATAATATTAAATTAATTATATTTATATCAAATATTTTACACTTATACAAAAGTTAAATTATTTAGAATAAAGTTTCCAAATACAAAAATGATTCGAAAAATTCTGAAAAAGTAAGATTTTTTTATTTTATTTAATTTAATTAAAGGTTTTAATCATTTATCGCATATATGATTTATCGCCACTCACAGTTGTGTAACCTGATCATCATAAATATGATCAGGCTTTTTTTTTATTTCTAGCTTTCTCTTTTGTTGCTTTTTGTCATCATATTATTTTACTATATTTTTTTTTTCATTAGCTCTTACTACTTTTCGCTTTGACTTTTTGTAGCTTTTGACAGTTTCATGTCGCTTTGGATCACTTTTGGGTTGCCTTTTTGAATTGTCATTTTCGGAATCATCCTTTGGAGTTACTAGGCTGTTTTTTTTCTTTAGTTCTTACTAACTTTGTTTTAATTTCTTAGCTTTTGTCAGTTTTGCGTCATTTTAGAAGAGTCGTTGCTTTTGGTGTTGCTCTTTTGGAGTCTCATCGTGGATTTTGGTGTTCTGTCGTTTTTGGTGTTTCTTTCAGAGACATTGTTTTTTTTCATGTTTCTTACAGAGACTTTGTCATTTTTGGCATTACACCCTTTTTTTTGTTGCTTACTAACATTCACTTAGATCTTTTTAGCCTTTGTCTATTTTGCCATCGCTTTGGAGTCACTGTTTTGAAATCTCGTCATCATGAATTCCGGTGCATTGTCATTTTGTGTACTATCGTTTTTGGTATTTCTTTCAAAAATATTGTCATTTTTTACAGAGATGTTGTTTTTGGTGTTACACATTTTTTTGTTGCTTACTAATATTTACTTCGATCTTTTTAGCCTTTGTCCATTTTGCCGTTGCTTTAGAGTCGTTAATTCTGGTGCATTGTCATTTTGGTACTCCTTCAGAGACCTGTTGTCACTTTTAGAGTTACATGCTTTTTTATTGCTTACTAATTTTTGCTTTGGTTTTTGTAGCTCTTATTCATTTTGTCGTCACTTGGAGTCACTCTTTTGAAGTTGTCACTAGAGTCGTCGTTCTTGGTGCTTTGTTTTAGAGGGTGGTTCCATTTTTTTGATTCATCTTTCGTGGTTTATTATTTCATTTACGTCATTCATTTTAGACTGTTGCATTTAGTTTTTTAGATAAAATTTGGATCTTTTTGTGTTGATTTGCTTTTAGATAGGATTGTTGAGCCGTGTTTTAAATAGGGTTAGGATGAACGGCCTGAATTTGTTGAGCTGCGTTTTAGATAGAGTTAGGGTAAGTGGCCTGAATATGTTGAGTTGCATTTTAGATAGAGTTAGAGCTGCGTTTTAGATAGGGTTAGGGTTTAGTTTTTTTTTATTTTAAATAAACATTTATTATAAGTTATATATCTGATAATAACTTAATAAATTGATTAATATATTAATATATATTCGAATCACTAATCACGTGATCTGAACTAATTGGTCGATCTCTCTGGTGATATATTGCTATGGCGGTAAATTACAAAAGCCTTAATTAAATTTATTTTAATTTTTATGAATTCTTTAAATTTATAAAAGGCCAAAGATTAGTAAGTATTAACTTTAAAAATTTAATTTATTTAAATTTATTCGCAATATTTCGAAATAGCTAAATTTAATTTTTTATATTTATTAATATTCTGAAGCAGTTCGAGTTAGTTTAGATAAAGACACAACTAATGAAGAAGATGTATCCAAAGTTGGCATAAATAAAACAATAGATAATGATTCTTTGGCCTCAGGCGATGATGATAATGATAATAATAGGAAAGTTACAGTTGATGATAAGAAGGATACGGATATTGATGAGTAAAAGTTTTTATTTTTTTGCTTTGTTTTTTTTTTATTTGAATAATGCTGCATTTTTTGTCTTTTATTTTTATAT